TCGGTCAATACCTTGAATATCTTTTACGAGATAGCTTCAAGTTAAGCGCCCCCAGGATCTGGGCGCTGGAATCATCTCTAGGTGGCTGAAAAGGGAAGTTGTTCTCCATAGCTTTTTGCAAGCGAGAGAGCTGCTCGGGTGTCTTCTCGTGATAGGGAGGCGTCCAATTGCTTTCGGTTGAGTCTGCTGACGGCTGCAAGGACTCGGCCGACACTGAGGTGCGGCGGCCAAAGTTGTACTCGGCAGGGTAGTTCTCAGGGTTAGGAGGGCTTCGAACGGTCGGAGGGCCATCGAAGGGGGCGTCGCCAGCACCGCCGAAGGGACTGCTGTTGCCGAAAGAGCTAGCGTTGCCAAAGGGGCTGCGAAAAGCTTGGGCAGAGACACCAAAGCTCGGGGACGTGGGTGAGGCGATCGTGTCTGCTTCGTCCTCCTCAATCACTCTGTGCATGACGTTGCTGCCAGCGGCGGGTGAAGCGTCGCGAGCGCCGAAGGGGTTGGCGTTGGCCCCGAAGGGACTGGCGAAGGGGGCAGACATGGTCTGGGGTGCAGGCGTCGGCTCGACAGACGTGTATTTTATGTTTACGCCGACACTCGGGGGCGTAGAGAAGCGTTCAGTATGTTCTCTGTCGGGGTTGAGGCACCTGGCAAAGTAGTTTGCGCAGAACTGAAGGATATCGGTGGGATAACGTTCAAGTATGAGTCGATCGAGGGCCTTGATCTCAATTTGGTAAGCTTTAGGTAACGACATGTTGAAATCAGGCCTTGCTTAGGGAATCAGTGATAAGAAGGGGGGGTAAATTGACAGGTGCTAGGCATTAGATTCATGACGTTGGCGGTGCATAAGAAGGAAGTCATCGTGAGAAGGACAAAGAATGCTGCTGCATCGTGACCATCGGTGGGGGGGATATTGCAGGTGTCAGACCAAACGAAATTGCAGGTTCAATATTTACCTGTGCTCCGGGCTGTCTCTGCGTGACCAGTCTGTCTCAAAGCTGCAATGACTGCTCCGTGAACGTTAGCGGCGGCGCTTATTGAAGCTGTTGTATTGCAATGACGTTCAAAGGAGGTTCGCCGGGGGAGGGGGCGAAGTTGCTCTCAGAATCCGGGGCTCGATGCCAAGGAAGTTAAAAGTAGCGCTCGCTGCGTGAGAAGGAAGGAAGGAAAGGCCGTTGGCATGGACATCCCATGCTCCCCGGCTTCGAAATGTGGAATCAAGAAAACAAATGCAAGGGGACGGGACAGTGCGGCATGGGACGATGGATCATCCACCAACAGCGTGTCATGGAGGGTTGACTCAGACGACAAGGTCTTGGATGCCACGGCTGACTTACCAAAATGAGCAGATGGGAGAATCGGGCCTTTATAGGAAGATGCAACTGCAGGTCCAGCAGGGCGGTTGAATGTTGGCTCCCGAGGTTTGAGACGGTCGTGCGGGATCGTCAAGCTGTAGGTAGAGAGGAGCTCGAGGGACAAGACGCCGAAGGGTCGAGCTCGGGGTGGTGGGTGTCGGAGAGAGCGAGGCAAAGGAGCGGAGCGAGAATGGAGAAATTGTAGCTACAGAATCCTGCCAGATGCAGATGCCGGCCGGGACGTTCGTCGGAGGGCGAGCCTGTGTGACAAGAGGAGGCCAGAGAGATGGGGGAAGAGATGGGACGGGCGGATTGGTTTGGCAGCAAACGGTCAGGACTGCAGAGTAAATATGGTTGTGTAGACAAAGGGGGTTTGCGGAGGAGAGAAGGGGGGAAACAGTTCAGAAATGGCTGGCCTGGGAGGTCGCTGTATGATACAATGAGAGGATGGAGGGTGAGGGCAGGAGGTGGAAGATGAGGAGCAGGAGTGACGGGATGGAGAGGGAGGGGGAGGGGAAGGCTCGAGTGGGGACGCTTGTGAGAGTAAGAGGCAACAGTAAAGTACCCTGGACCAGGGCTACTGGCTGCTGCACAGGCCACACATCTGCCACTGGAAGGCATCGGCGCACCAGGACCCCTCGATGCCCTGTGCGCAGGGAGCAAGAAGCTTGTCGGCAGCCAGTCAGAGCCGCCGAACTTTTCTAGAAGACGCACAAGCCACATGCTGGTCTGGTGCTTTCCGCAGATGGCCCGAGCTCCGTTGTTCCAGTGTGCTTCGTTTGCGGATTCCATGCAGCAGGAGTGGCCCAAGCTTCCTTCCGTTTCCTATCCCCATGCCGGCAATGCCTGCCTGTCTGCCTCCCTGACCTGCCACTGTCTCTTGCCCTATTGTTGGTGCTTTGCCCGCTCCAGGCAGCACATAACAGATTCCACTGCATTGCATCATGAGCACGCGGGGCTCCAGCAACAGCGATCAGCCAGGCTCTTAAAGATGCATGTCTATTCCAACGCATTGGGTCTTTTGCACGTGCAAAGCTCCATCCAACCAACCTACCTTTCCTTAGGTAGGTACCTAGCTGAGGCTGGGGAGCCAACTCAGACAAATCGCCTCCGCAAGTAGGTCAACTCTGGAAAAGGTCGTACCCCCAAAACGACGCAAACGGTCAACAATACAATAGATAATCTGGGTATGGTCTTGATTGCTGAAACAAGCAGGGCATCTCTCTACTGCGGACAGCATCCAACGTACTCACGCCGCAAGGACGTCCACCCTCGTATCTACTCGACTTTGGCTCCAGCTGTCGCCGGCTTCCCGACTCTATTCCAACTGCTCAAACTTCCTCAGCGGTAGACTCCTTTACAATCAAGACCCACGAGCTGCTGCTCATAGTAGCTTTTGCCCTGGTCCAGACGCTGCCTGTCCGTCATGAGAGAGGACTCGTTGCCTCGAGTCGCCAAATTCCCGTCCAGGGACCTTAGAATGGCGTGGTTCCCCAGACTTTCATCAGACATGATAACGCCTGCTCGAGCAAAGGGAGCATATGGGGCTGGACTGTGCCCTAAGTCTGGGACCCTGGACGGTGGACCAATGGGCCCCCAGACACAAGGAGTCATCTGTGAAGGACTCTGTTGAACTGCTGTGATGTGGCCTGCCGAGCTTGCATCAGCGACCGCCCGTGGGCTACCGCTATCTCGGGATAATGTACCAGGACCACCATTTGTCACATAGCCCATCCTATACTCTCGAGCCCGAGAGGGGCCCCTCTCTGTCATGTCACGCAGCCCTACGGGCGCAAACTTCGATACGTCTCGATGTCGCCATGCAGCTAAGTGTTGAGGCCGGTAGGTTGCCGTCTGGTCTACTTTGCTCTGATCTGCTTCAGCCACGGCACCGCGGCCTTGTTGCTCACCTCCGAGCACGGCGCTGCCGGGGGCTGAAGTAACTTGGACGGAATCATCAACGTTCCGACCACTAACAGTCAGCTGTCGTCGTTGCAACTCGGCCTGCTGCTTCCTCCACCATGTCGGGAGCCCATGGAATAAGCCCAGACTGTGTTGCGTGGCCTTGTCGAGCGGCATCTCGTGCTTATACCTGCAGCCTTGCTGCGTGAAGGCACACACACCCTCGTGCACCCATTTGTCGCAGTAGACCTTGGTCCTCTTGGGACCGGCTGGCGAGCATGCCACGATGGTATCGATGGTCTCCTATCACAAAGCTGGTTGTCAGCACAATGACCAAGGCCAGGCACGGAATCAACTGCAAGCGCGGCACGTTGCGCATAATACTGAACGTTACCTGAATGGTATCAGTTACTGGTCCGGGAGACGGCGGGGGTGTCTATGCCGTTCAGTCACCTTCAAGCGCGCCCAACCTGAATAAGGGAAGCCATCATCTCACCTTCAACGTGACAGGCTGCACATTACTGGGCAGACCTCCGACAGGCTCAGCGCCTGGGAGCGGTAGCACCATCATCCCCCCAGAGCCCTGCTGTATGGCAGGAATGCCCAATACTGGCGGCAGCATGTCTGCCGGTATCAGCCTGGTATAGTTTCCATTGCCTCTGTCGAAGCAGTATGCGTATATGCCTGGCAGCTCAGTCTTGTCGCGATCCTTGAGCCGGCGTTCTGGGATACAGTCACCGCTTGGGGCCGGGCTGGGGCTGAGGGGGGAGAATTGTCCACTCGTGTTTGCCGACGCCAGTTGCCAGTCATGCGATTCGAGACATCGTGGTGTGCTTTCCACCACTGGTTTGGCGGACCAGCTCACGTTGGTAAGCGATGCATGGCCGTCTCGGTCGTCTCTCCTTGGCACTTGATGGTGCTGGTGGGTTAACTTGTGCGTATCTGTCGCCATCCTCCGACGATGCTGATCAGTCGTCCTGGTGATCAAGTGCTCGCCCATGAGTCTGAAGTGTGCGTTCTCAACCGTATAAGCGTTCTCGTCGCCTGAATGATGGAAAGTGTCGTCTTCACAAGACGACGTTCACGGCGACGGCGCGATGGCAGGGTCGCGAACGCTACCTCTGTGAGTGGCGGGTCGTATGTAGGGGAGAGACACGCCGGGCTTCTCCAGGACGAAGATGGAGGAAATGTGAGAGGAATACGGAGGTAGAAGAAGTGGAAGAGTTGATGTTGGAGAAGCAAAGGGACACAAGTCGCTGCTGCAGTGGTCTGTTTTCTGCATCACCTGCAAACCGTCTTTCCCCATGCCGCCTCCCCCGTCCGCTGCGCAAATCCCAGCTCCGCGTCAGTGCTTCGTTGCCCCCGTGCAGGTTTAGAACGCGGCAGCTTGGTCTGCTTGACGAACGCCGCCGGGAGAGGTGCTGAGCAGAGTACCGAGACAAAGATCGTGTTGGCCGCGGATAACAAGGCACAAGAGGAAGGATGAGCAGAATGAAGGGAGGGGGGGGGGGGTTGTTGGACTGCTATGCACCCCTCCCTCCACGACCAAACCAGAGACGCCCGTTTGTGTCCTCACAGCTGAACCCGTTTCTCTGACCGAGCCAGGTGGCTTGGGCCGCCGTTTGCCCGATATTAGTCCAGATTTGCCACGATGAGGCGGATAGCTGCAGTTGCGGATTTGTGCCCCTACACGTGACAAACAGGGTGTTGGACAGCCGCTGGCTACAGTTGCATCTGATAGGCCTTTCATGGTCATGGACGTCCCGAGCCGGTGAAGTCGTACTCATGGTTTTAAATTCATCATGTGTGTAAGCTAGTATGATAGACGTCTATCTTGAGCCCTACTTGACCCCTTTATGAACGAGAGCCCATGGGGTTTTCTGCAACCGAAGACGTATTCTGTCGTCCTCTCCGTAACCAAAAGCTAGATTGAAGCCATATTCAATCGCATATAAACGAAGAGCCATCCCGTATCATGTATCCGATGAGCTATTGCCTCACTCCCCCTGGTCATACCGGTATCGACAACAAGCGCTGCTTGAGCTCAAGTTTCTCGAGGGCGACGACGGAGTTATCTGGCATTCGTGCGAGTTCATCTAGAGCCATTCGGATCTGAGTCTCTGTCAACCGTCCGTTGCAGGCCGATGTTAGATGGTCGCCTAGACAGCCTGTACACTTCATGTCCGCAAGGGTAGTCTTTGCTGGTTGTGCCTTGGGGTGACCGCGGTGCGGTGGTATCCTTGTTACCATTTGCTTGGAGATCTTGAGAGCCGATTCGAGGGTTAGCCCTGGGATCTTGGCCTTGTAGGCCATGTCCGGAAGAGCGGGCTTGGTCGCTTCGGAAACCCGGGGGCTTGGTAACGTGGTCTCCACGATCGCCTGTCGTGGTTGACCCTGCCACGGATCAGGAGAGGCTTGTCCTGTACCGTTCAGCCTTCCTTGAGTTTGTGGGTGCAAGTTTTGTTGCGGTAGCTGCTGGGACTGATTTGGTGGCAAGTTGAAGAACGGAGACTGGTGCTGACTCTGCTGGTAATCTTGTCGAGTGTTCTGGTATCCTGGCCCTGCTCGGGATGGCGCGTTACTGGGCAGCATCATCTGGCCAGGCACGAAAAGGGCGGTTGAGTCCCAAAGAGGGCCAATACCGTTGTGGACTCGGGGGTTATTCTGGTGAGTGACGACTTGTGGTCGATTCGAGAGTGTTGTGTTCTGCACCGCAGGCTGCTTCGAATCTGGGTTCTTGGCCTTGAGGCCTCTGGCGCGCTCTCCTTGTGGTGTGTCAGTCTTGCGCGGCCGACCTCTTTTCTTGCTCCCGACAGCGACAACTGGCGGTGCTGGAGCGGTGTCTGGGATGGTGACATGTTAGCAAGAGTCTCGGCACGTAGTTATTGTAGCCCCGACCAAGGAAATCTTACCCTTCACAACGGCAGCTCTCCGGGGCACGACGCCGGCGAGGTCAGTAATACCAACATCTGCAGATGCTTCGTTTTCACCTGCACTTTCTTCGTCTTCATCCGTATCAGCGCTAAAGTCGCCATCGACATCAGAGCCGTCCAGTTCGGTACGTCCTGCGACGTCATTCGCCTCATTAGTGCGATAGTTGATAGCCTTGAATCATCGTGAGTTATGTGTGTTACACGCAAGACATGGCAAGTATAACTCACTGTCCGACGTCGCCCTCCCCGTCCCAGCACCACCTTTTCCGCCTCTGCGAGTTTCTGCGCCACGGCTTCACGTTCGGCCAGAATGTCTTCCCATATACTCGGGTTGAGGGTGGGATCCTCGTGTTCCGCCATGTCATCCTCAAAAGTCCCTTTGTCGTTCGCCCAGACTTTGGCGAAAGAAAACTGCGACTCGCCTGAGCCGCTTTCATCGGGTTTGGCCTGCTCGATATGCGTGCGGTCGAGCAACTTGTCCACACTGGCGTCATCGTATCGAATGATATCTTTCTGGTCCTGCTCATCGCTGAATAGGGCCGAGGCTCCAAACTTGAGGATTGACTCCAGATCATCGCCTGCGTCGTTCTCGTTGTCCATGGATTCGATAAGAACATGGTCCAAAGCCATCTTTTTGCGTCCAATTTGCATAATCTTCTCTTCCACCGAGTTCTTCGTCATTAGCTGGAAGCATAGAACTTTATTCTTCTGGCCAATTCGGTGTGCTCGAGAGAGAGCTTGCAAGTCCTGGTGTGGGTTGAAATCAGGATCGAGGATGATTACGGTGTCGGCTGTGGCAAGATTGATGCCGACACCTCCAGCTCTGGTCGACAGTAGGAAAGCAAAGACGGGTGAATCAGGCGCGTTGAAAGCGTCGATACGTCGTTGCTTCTCCAAGCTGGAAATGGAGCCGTCAAGCCGCCGGAAATCGTACCCTCGTCCAGTGAGGTAATCCTCAACAATATCGAGCTGGTTGAGAAACTGGCTGAACAGCAGCACGCGATGGCCACGCTCTTTGAGCTTGGGTAGCATGATTTCAAGCAGAAGAAGCTTGGCTGAAGCAGAGATGAGGTTGCGCTGCGTCACGATGGGGTCGTCTGACCTCTCCTCGATGGCCTGGCTATAGATGAAGGGATGTGCCAAGCATTTACGAAGCTGCATAAGAATGTTGTTGAGGCTGCCGCGGTCTTTCGTCTTGATCTTGTCGTCTGCAAAAATGGCCTTGATGAGCTCTGGACTTTTCGCCATGATCGACTTGCAGAGCTTCTCCTGGAGAATCGTCATGGATACCGGCAAGATGATCTGCGCCATGGGCGGCAAGAACTTGAGCACTTGCGCCTTGGTGCGTCGCAGGAAATACGGGCGGATCTTCTCGTGTAGCTTTGGCAGGTTGGTTGCGTTCAGCTCGGCGTATTCCTCATCAAGCTTGGCGGCGTTGTGCGCCGTGTCGACAAACTGCAGCAGATTGAAGAGCTCTCGCTTGTTGTTCTGCAGGGGCGTTCCCGTCAGAAGCAATCGAAAGGGAAAGCTCATCGATTTGAGGGCGAGGTAAAGCAAGTTTTGATCGTTCTTCAGTCGCTGGCCTTCATCAACCACAAGTCCGGCCCATGACACTGAGCGAAACAATGACTTTGTCCGGTCATCTTGGGCCGAGTCGTAGGACATGACGACGATATGTGCCTTCATATCTTTGGCGCCATCAGGAAAGAGCTCATACTTGTAAGCCAAGTCTTGCGAGTGGCGTCCTCCGTGGTAGCTAACTACACGTAGATCAGGGGCCCAGAATTTGATCTCGCGACGCCAATTGGGACACGTCGAGTTGGGTACCACCACCATGAATGGCCAACACTATCGTTTTTGTCAGTGTCATGCCTTACGTTGATACAAGAGGCAAACATACCTGTGGGCTGTCCTGGATCAATGTCGTGATCAGGCTCACCACTTGAACAGTCTTGCCGAGGCCCATCTCGTCTGCCAGAATGACATTGCGGCCAGTGTGGTAGCTCGAAAGCATCCAATTGACACCCTCTTCTTGATACTTCATGAGTTTTCCTCGCTTGATGCCACGAGGCTGTTCCTTGAGTTCCACAAACTCCTTGCGCTTCCAAGCTCTCACTCGCTCTTGCATCTTGGGTCCGACGCCAGGAGCAAAGTACTTTCCACAGAGATACTCCTCGTAGGCCTCCTTGAAGGCCTCGTAAGGACGACCGGATTCAGGGGGAGGAGGAGAGTCCCAGACCGCGTCATCATAGCCAAGTCCTTGGAACTTGACAAATATCTTAGAAACCTTGTGAATGCGCGCCATCTCGGCATCTTTACTGGACGCTTGGTTATCAGCCTTGGCGTACAATATAACATCTGCCAAGAGATACTCTTCAGGGATGGCGTCTTGCTTGTTCATCCTGAGAAGGCTTCGTTCGGCATCCCGCTTGGCGAATGTAGTTCTCATAGCGCCGGCAGTGATCCCATGCACCCAAGCACCTGGCATCCACGTGCAGTGGAAGTACGAATGGTCGGCCCACTTCACAAGATATTCCTTGCCGTCTTCGGGCAAGCTGCTGAAGTCCGGTGTAGCTTCGCCGTCTTCGATGGCCCCTTCCTTCTTGCCCGTTGGTCTCCAGGCGACGAGAACATGGACTTTGTCGTTGCGTAGGCTGCAGTCTTCGCACTTCCAGTCAATGGAGTAATCTGCAAGACGCTGCTCACGAGTACCTGCCACATCGGACTCCGTACGCGACGATGGGAGGTGCTCAAAATGCCAGCCACGTTTGCAAGTCGTGCAGCGAAACAAGACAACTTCTGAATTGTTGACCAGGTAGGGTTCGACCTTGGTGATGGGATCGACGCCACCGTTGTCCTGCCGTAGTTTCTCCTCCTCCCTCGCGGTCTTCTTCTTTGAAAAGGGCTTGCAGGCCTTGCCATCTTCTTTGCATGATTGACACATTGCATGATGCGGAGCGTTCGCGTCCTTCTTCCTGTAAATGCCTATGCACCATTTGCACTGCAAGACGAAGCTATCGTCTCCGACCTTGGTCGCCATGTGGTCGCGTTGCGCGCGTGATTTGATGCACCCCTTGTGGAAAGACAGCGAACATCCCTGGCAGCCGATCATTTGACCTCTGTTGGAAATTGAGCCCTGGTTGCACACGTCACAGACACTGATATGGTACTCCGAGAAGTCAGAGTCTGGCGGTAATGGCTTGAAAACTTCGTTGATGCTGACGACTTTGGGTGCTGTGGTAGTCTTGCCCTCTTCGACAGAGGAGAAGTCATCATCCATCGCGGTAAGGTCTGTCATGATTTTGGTGTTTCTTGTCGACCTTCCCGAACGACGCCGGTCATCTTCAAATTCGATAGAGGAATCCCGAGAGCTGCGTGCCGCGTAGTTCGAACGAGACGACTTCAGCTTTTTGAGACTTTTTCTTCCTCGGCCTGTCCTTGGAACCACATCGGACGTGATGAGCTGAAAGTCGTCGTCTTCTCCGTCTGATTTGTTGAGCAAGTTTGCCAAAGCGAGTTCATCATCATCATCACCGAAAGAGTTGCCATTTGCGAATGCCAATTTTGTGAGCTTCAATTGCCTCGGCTGGCGATCGCGAAGCTGGCGAGCGGGTGGTGCCGGTGCAGTGGGCTCGTCCTCGTCGCTCGAGAAAGGGGCAGTACGACTCGTACTTGCACGAGCCGAAGTTCGTCGTCGTTTATAGAGCGTACGCATGTGGTCCTCGTCGTCATCATCGACGTCCATCATGTCGTCAAGGGATCCGTATGAAGCACTGTCTTCGGTACCATCCTCCCAAGATCGCTTGTGGGCGGTTCCTCGACTCATCTCGAAAATGTCCTCTGGGGTGATTCCAGCATGCCAACGTCGCAATGCGGTCTTGCCGCCGTGCTGCGCTGCAAGGTCTGATTCAGATACCTTGAAAGTGATATTAGCAGTTGCGCATTTGGTGTTGAGTGAAGATCATGTTTGAAGAGATTGGGGAAGGAGAGGAAGCCGCGTCAGCCCGACCTGACCAGCACAAGAAGAAGGCAGCTGTGCAAGTGAGAGCTGGCGAGGATAATTGGCGAGGACTGTTCTGGATAGGAAAGAGTCAAGAAGCGTTGAGAGGCGCTTCAAAACTGCTGCGCCTTCCCAACGAGACAAGAAAGAGAGGCACATTAGATAGGAAGGGTTGTTGGAGATAATGAGAGCGCAACGCAAGGTAGAAAGAAGACTTTTGAGTTGACTTACAAGATGTTGCCTGCCGTCTGTATACTCAATCCTGTAATAGGGGTCGTATGGCTGTTCTGCAACCTCCTCGTAGATGAAATCCACTCGGTCACTGTGAACCTCTCGATAGCGCGCACGCTCTTCTGGCGACAATTGTGGTAACACAATCTCAAACTGAACCGGTCGTATGCGCTCGGGGGCCGTTGTTCGCGGCGAGTCTGCCTGGGACTCCTGCGTTTCGGGGCTGTGTTGGTCCGGTACGTCTGGCTGTAGCTCGTCCTCTTGGAACTCCTGCGCAAGAGGCGCAAGAGGTTCTTGAGACGTCGCGTCGAGCAATTCATTTTCTTCATATTCGGTGCTCTCGGGAAGAAGATCGGTGAGGGCCTCGTTCGACACGTCCTTGTTCGCATGGGTCTCGAACTCGTAGGCTTCGGGATTCTCTACAGACTCCAAAATGTCGGCAACGCCCTCCTCGGAGCTGAATTCCGGCTCTGGGGTTCCGAACACCAAGGTACCCTTCCAAGTGGAAGGAGCCGCAGGCTCGGAACCACTATCGGTCTCCTCCATGGCGAAGCAGCAGGACGTTTGTCGATGTCATTGGTGACGATGGGTGATGGTGATGGGCGGGCAGCGGCAAGCCTAAGAGTCGAACAGCTTTGACGTGCAGCTAGTGGTATGACGTGATTTGAAATGGGACGCGCGCAAGTCACCGGCGGTGCGTACAGAGGTGTGGTTTGTATCTGGCCCTTGGAGGTCGATGTATAATGCGTAGAAATAAAAAGGCTACGTCTACAACGGCCACGGCAGGACCAGGAAGACGCGGTTGCCGTTCGTTGCCGTTACTGGCACGCGTTATGCTGGACAATCCATTAAGCTTCCACTTGTCCCACTTTCCCCTTGGAAGGTACCTGCCCACCCACCTGGGCTTGCTAGGTACCCAAGATACCACGGAAGGTACAGACAGGGTCCACAAGGCACACCAATAAGAAAGCATGCCTCGGACTGACCGCCTGGGATCCTCGACAGGGGAGGGGCAAGGGGCCAGACGGCAGAAAAAGTACGAACCGTCAGTGCCATCTACATGAGCTTTCGAGAGGACCTGGGTTCAGAACTGTACACACCCGCCTTTCCCTTACCCCTTTGACTTTGCAATCCTCGCCATCACAACATGCAATGAGTCTTCTATCAAGATGGAGCACGGTTGCTTCGTCCACACAAGGCGCCAGGCCTGCGCTTCGCTGTCATTGGTCTCTCCCCAATACCACCATCCGCCAACAGTCCTCCTTCTCCGCCGTATGGCGCGGCCTTCGCACCGAGCGATTTGGCCGTCGTGAACCTGGCTCCTCAGGCCGCGGCCGCTCTTCTGGTCCCCGATCTTCCGACTTGCCGGCAGCGCGTCGACTGTCTCGCCCTCGAGATGGAGGTGGCCTCAACCGCAAAGTCGACAAGGCCGCCAGCAGCCTGGGCGGTGGCCGCACACACTACAAGCCCAAGAAGGCGTTGCAAAAGATGAGGGAGAGGGAGGAGATGGACACAGAGGGCGGTCGCAAGACGCGCAGCAAACGCTTCAACAACCCCGAGTACTCGTTTGGCAAGAAAAGCCTGGTGTATCAGCTCAACAAGGGCGATTTCCAGGACAAGATCTCCAAACTGGTCGACGCGAAACGGACCGGGCCTAGCACGGCGGCCGGCACGTCCGAGAGGAAAGATGTGCGACGCGAGGAGGATCCTTGGAATCGCATGTCCAGCTCGACCGACGACAGGCAACAAGCCCGCAGGGGCGCCTCGGGCGACCGGCGACCGCGGAATCCACAGCCTTGGCCGGCCAGAGACGCGGCCAGGTCAGAGGGACCTCGACGGGACGACAGTGCCTTCAGGCGCATGCGCTCGACCTCTGATTACACGCCGCGCGAGCGGCGATCCCCAGCTGCCGGCCGCAGCTTTGGGCACTCGGACGTAACAAAGCAGCGCGCCAGGGACGAACTGCGCGAGGAAGACGAGGGCGCCTTTTCGCACCGGCCGGCGTTCAAGGGACGGACAAACAACTTTGCGGCGACCCTGCCGCAGTCGACGGCCGCCTCACAGTTCCTCTTTGGCCGATGGCCCGTCACCGCGGCGCTGAAGGAGGCGCGGCGCAAGCTGTACCACCTCTATGTATACGCCGGCAGCAACAGGAGGGACGCCAACGATCCCGTTCGCACGCTCGCCCAGAAGCACGGCGTCCGCATCACCGTCGTGCCCGAGTCGGAGCAGCACATCATGGACAATATGAGCAAGGGCCGGCCGCACAACGGCCTCGTCCTTGAGGTCTCGCCTCTGCCGCAGCTCCCGCTTGTCAGTCTGGGCCCCGTCACGGAGGACGGCTACACGGTCGAGATTGCGCACCAGATGAAGGAAGATGCAGAGATCAACGGCACCGAGCCCTTCCAGGCCTGGAACTCCCGGGCCGGGCACAAGCCCTTCGTGCTCCTGCTGCACGAGGTCATGGACCCGGGCAACCTCGGCGCCATGCTGCGGACGGCGCGGTTCCTCGGCGCCGCAGCCGTCGTCATCACCAAGCAGACGTCGTCGCCCATCACGCCGACAGTCGTCAAGGCGGCGGCCGGTGCCGCCGAGGAGCTGGCCATCTTCTCCGTCGCCGACCCCGTCGCGTTCCTCGAGGGGTCGCAGAAGGCTGGCTGGGAGTCGTACGTGGCCGTCGCACCGGCGTCGGGCAGCAGCAACAGCGCCAGGCAGCAGGTGACGGCCGACGAGCTCGCCGAGGAGGATCCCCTGCGGGAGAAGCCGTGCATCCTGGTCCTCGGCAACGAGGGCGAGGGCCTCTCGCGGAAGATCATGTCGAGGGCGAGCCGCCAGGTGACCATCCAGCGGCAGCCGGCGGGACGCAGCTCCGTCGACAGCCTGAACGTCAGCGTGGCGGCGGCGCTGCTCTGTGACGCCTTCACAAAAGGTGCGCGGGCTGTGCCGAGGAGCTTCCAGCAGAAGCTCAAGCTGGACGAGAAGAGGGCGCGCGGCGGGGAGTCTCTTTTCTGAGACCCTTGCCCTGGGGCCTGGTGTATACAATGTACTCTTACCTGTCAGAAGCTTCTGTCTTTTTCTTTTCTTCAACATCATGGCGGCATATGGTGGCGAGGATTGTCATGAGCAAAGTGTCACTGTACTCCAACGTTTGTAACAGTATCGAAAGCCACTTTCAAAGCCCCGTTCATTTCCTGTACGAGCTGTACTTTGTGAGGTGTGATGTATGAGATGGCCAGTCAGTCGAGAGAGCACACACGGACATCAGCCAGCCAGCCCTTGACCTGAACGACACGCCACGCGGCGAGGAAGCAAGTGTACGGTGCAACCCTGGGCACGCTATCGAGAGAACCTGCTGAGAGCCACTCGCCTCAGCCCGCCAAACCAGACCCGCGATCTTATCTGCACTCCTTGAATTCAGGTACCACTCCAGAGGCTCCGAATTGTCTGCCCTCCTTGAACCAGGTGCCACCCCAGAGGCTCCAGATTACAGTCTGGCAGCGAACAAGGTCACTGGCATTCTGTATCGTCACCGCAAGGTATGCTGCCTCTCTCGTTACAAGACTTAAAGATGAAGCGGGCACTGACCCGACCGCTTTGGCATCACAACTGAAGAGCTTCGAGTTGATGAAAACGATGCCAAAACAGGCCTTCCTTCACTTGCCGGGCCGTGCGATGTTGGGGAGCAAGGGGGCCAAGAGTAAGCCACAGACGCACGATGAGACGGGAGAAGGGCAACGTGGCAGGACGAGGGGCAGGGGTGGCGCATAATGATTGTTGCGGTGAGTCAGATCTCCAGCATTGGTTGTATTTGTGCCTTTTTTCATCCCATATGGCGCTACATCTATTTTTCGCCCCTTGGCCCTTCCACAGGGAGGAGTAGGGGCGGGAGCGGCGAAAGGGGACTGTCAGTGATCAGGCGAAACAAGCGGGAGGTCCGGATGGAGCGTGGACAGTGTCTAGCGTTTGTTGTTTGATGCTGTTGTTAGCGAAGGAGGGAGGAGGCGGACGCGGAGGTCGCGGGGAAGGGATGATTGCCAGCTCACAGCTATTTATCTGGGGATGACCTGGGTAGTACACGGTACCTTGCCATGTTTGATGGCGATTGTGGGGGCTCTCTAAAGCTGCTCGCCAGGCTGCAGCAAGCCATGTGGTCGACAGGCGTTTGACCGACGGTGCCTTCACACAAAACACACCCATATAACCAAACAGATATACTTACTCACACAAGAAGGGAACCAGGTCAATCCTGGTTGGCTGACATATGCCGCTGTTTCGAGCCGATAGAAGAAGGGGCCGAGGCTGGCTCGTCTGATGCTTACTAGCGATGCTTGCTCGAGTTGGTAGTCCCGTCTGCCTGCCTGTCTGTCTGCTGGCCTTTGCCGTCTCCCCTGGTCCCGCTGCATTGATGCACGATGGCGACGATGCGTTGGACGTTCTGGAAAAAGGGGAGGAATAAGAACCCCAGACGAGGCAGGGCACCTGTAGCAAGGGGGGGACGCGGAGCCACGGAGGAACGCGTCTCAAGGGCCATACCTAGGCGGGTAGGTAGAGGAAGAGCTCAGGTACAAGCGTCACTAAAATGGAAAAGCATCTCCACTGGGAACGCGTGGTCGGGACTGGCCGCACGCTTGGCTTCTTCCCCTGTAACTGATCCCGGTCATGGTCATGGTCTTGTTCCGCCTGCTCTCCACACGAAGCTTCTCGTCATTTGGGGTTGCTTGGCCATCCTCTGGCCCCCTTTTCTCCCACGATTCCAGAGAGAGAGAGAGAGAGGAATCTGCAAATAAGCTCGCTGTCCGTCTGGGGAGGTCCGAAGGGCGGCGGCTTGCCTGAGGTGATGCGAGGTGCCGAATCTCTCAGACAGTGCTGTGCTTTTTTTTTTTCGCTCGCCAGAATCAGTGCGGCACGCCATTGAGGATGATCCCCCGTTCGGCCTGCTTGCCCTCCCTGTGGAAGGGCAAGCGGCGCCATGTTTTCGAGGCTGTCCGTCCCCCCTGCACGAATCGAGAGACGGCGATCATCCTCGTTCAGGCGGCCAGGTACCCGGGCCCCTTCCCAATTTTCGGCATGGGGGGAAGTCAGGCGTCCATCTTCTCTCGGTCAGGTCGTTCCCCCCTTCTTACCCCTTCAACTCATCGACCTGACCCGGCTTCCTGTCCCGACGGGAATGGGCGTCCGCCGAGGCTGGATAAGATTGCTTGTTTCCCTCGACATGAGCGCCAAAAAGAGACCATCGCGTCCATCAATTTCGGTCCAGCAGAAAGAAAGAACAAACGGGCCGGGGGCCTGGTCCACAACCGATTCATGTGTTGGACCAAGTCTGGGACCTTGACTGCCCAACTGATCCATCCATACCGAGGCCCAACTGTGCCCTTTCATGTCTGTTCGTTTTCCTACCCAGTACAGTGGGAGAGAGGCCAGGCTGGGCCACGCCAAGTCAATGGGAAGAGAGGCAGATCCGGACAGGGAAACGTACAGCCCGATGGAAGGTATCCAGTGGGTGATGCTCGTTCCCTGGTGTCCGGGGTTCGCAAGGTCAACAAGGCTATTGACTCAGCAACACGCACGCCAGTCGCTGGATCTCTGACACGAAGAGCTCACCAGAAAATCAACGACAAAAAGGGAAACTCAGAGAGCGCGAGCGAGAAAGAACAAGAGAGTGGGAAGAGACAGAGAGCGAGAGACCGACGAAGCCGTTGAGGCTCATCTGCATTCCTTCCCCAATGTCCCAATCTCACCCATGGACACGCCACCCCGGACCGCCCCAGGGATAGAACGGTGCAGTACATGTACCTTACAGGTACCTCGGTCGGATGCTGTAGGTATCAAGGTACCTACGTAGGTAGGTAGGTAGGTACCTAGGCACCTGGGGAACAAGATTGGGGCCATTGGCCCAACACTTACATGTAAAACTACCCCCACAGCGTCCCCAGTCGGGGAGCCTTCCGGGGCGCATTGCCCTGTTTGCGACAAGCTGTCATGGACAGATGGAACATTCCTTTCCGTCACGACGACGAGGCTTGCCGGATCGACTCCAACTCAGGGAATCGCAGACAAACTGGGAGGGAGAGCCCTGCTAGCCATAGCACCGAGACACGCCATCCCCGTCATCCCCACAACCTTTCTTGCAGTACCCAACTTACCTACCTAGGTACTAGGTACGCATTGTGCCCCAATGACAGACGCCTGGTTTTCCTCCTCTGGGATCACCGGCATAGAAGATGAGGAGGGTATCGGGTGGAAGTAGCCCGAACACGTATACGGACCGACACTGGGGTACGAGGCCGAAGCGAAGGCATGAACAACATTGCACATTACACACAGACTGGCACTCGAGTCGATAGTGTCCCCCTTCCGCCTTGCCATTTCCACCCGTCCATCCATCCATCTATCCATCCTCCTCCTCCTTCTTGTGGCCGGGCAGCCAGCCCCGAGCCCGCCGTGGCTGGCTGCCATTCACTCTCTCAGCTGCGTGTATGGTCGCCGGCATGCCGCCTCTGATTAGGGCTGTCAGCATCGGTCTCCCTACCCAAGGCTCTTACACACTCTCTGCCTATCAGCCCAAGGTACGGTACTGTAGGTAGGTAGGTAGTAACCTGTAAGGAGTCGATGTGAGAATGCCGCTGTCCTCAACGCTCCCATTGCTTGCCTCTGCGTGCCACACACATGCTCCCTCGCACACCCTCTCGCTTGACCGCTTCTCCAGCTTTCATCCCCCACTGCTGGCTTCGCAGCTACTGCGACCTTACCCGTGTGTTCTGCCAGTTGCCTGTCGATTTTCTTTGCCCATTCTCGGCTATTGGCCCGGAAGCTGGCGAGCTGCTATCCCCCCGGACCCCTGTCGGCCCACCCCCATCCAATGTCTGGGACACTGCCGCCAACCCCAGACTAGAGACTTATCCCCAACCTTGGGAAACACGCCCGTGGCAATCGCCCCATCAAAAGGGCCGGCCGGATGGTGAGATGCGGGTGGTGACAGAGGGGTGATAACAGCCGACATAGGGGGCAACATGTACAGGGGACGAAATGCCCAAAGTGCCAGGTGCCAGTACCTTACCCAAGGCAAGGAAGCTGGGTAGGTGGTGGTGGTCCTCGTTGGTTGGGGAGCCACCACGTCGGTGGTTCTGAGTCTGTCAGTGTCCGTGCCTGTCTCTGGAACGCACTTCAGCACAGGGCCAAATCAGACAGAGAGATGGACTGACGGACAGGCCCCAGCATGATTTCTACCGTCCGCTGCTTTTTTCGTTGCCGGCCAGGACCCCGGACATCTGACCCCCTGCCTATCTCATGTCGTGCCCCGGGGGCCCAACTCCAGCACACTTGTCTGTCTCAAAGACTTTTAAATAATTACCCCAGCAGCCTCTCCCGGGTTTCCCAGTCTCGTCCTCTCTTCACTTCCCCCAGACCTTGGAGACTGCTACCGTACACCTACCTGCCTGCCTACCTACCTGCCTGCCTACCCACCTGCCTTCTGTCACCACAACTTCTCCTATTGCTGCCTGAGACCCGTATACACTCTCGACTGTCCAGTCCACTCTCTAGCAACTGCCTTATACGTCTCTCGTAGACTTGCTCTCCGACATCACGAGCCGATCTTCAGCTCCCAGAAAACTGGTATTGATCCGGAAACAGACGGACTCCAAAGTCTCTCGTCTCCATCTTTCCTCGCAACATCCTCCAATTCCTTTCCAGCCGAAGTCCAAAATGCCTGCCGCTCAAATCGCGTCACCGCTGCCCATCACCCCGCCAAGGTCAAGCCTCCGCCTGATGACGGGTCAGGATCTCTACACCAGCCTCAGCGCTACCCTCAGCTCCACCCACCGCCCGACGACGCCCGTCCACATCATCCGCGAGCAAGACTACAGCGTCCCCGCCCCGCCTCCCCCGAGTCCCGTCTCTTTTGCGCAAGACCACTGGCCGGCCTCCCTACGCCGCTAAGTCGGCAGAATGTGCAGCCTAGGAGCCGCAAGACGATCGAAAGAACAGGAGGGGGGCGGCATACTTCATTCAATCTTTCCTTTGTTTGGTTGCCTATGTCCACCGACGCAACTTGCGATTCCGACAAGGGGAGTTTACGGCGCTCGATTTTGCTATTTGAGGGAAGGAGAATGGATGGACCTTTTAGGGGCAATCTTCAGTCTCCCGAACACTGGTCTGGGGTTACATAAAAATACGCGCATGGCTTTCTCGCTTGGTCACTGTCGAAGGTTTTCCGAGGGTTGGGTATCATTAGAGGCACAGTTTTGAGTCCCAGCAGGACGCATTTTCTAGGTTTTTTTTCTTGTCTTCGGGAGCATCGGCATCTCGTGGATCTTATTACACCAACTGGTCTGCGATTCCTTCAATCTGAACAGAGCGGCCTGATCAATATGTTTCGTAAGCACCGCATCGTGCCTGTTGGGTCGTGACTGGATTGATGTCATGGATCTTTAAACTCCTACCGTTTGCTGCTTCCCAAACAGGATGATCCGGTCGAAAGAGAGGCTGCTGATCAAGAGTTGAAGACAAGCCTTCGCACGGACCATGGCCACCGATGATCGAACTGCACGATGCTTCATCGAAATGCACAGGCAAATTTGACAAAGGCATAGAAACAGTTGTTCTGGCCTGACCATGGTTATGTAAGATTTCTTTCGTACCTGATATCTACAAGAACGTCTCGTGTGGGTCGGACAGGTCGCTAGACGACGGGTTAAGAGGCCCACCAGATGACGTTCGACCCCAGTAGCAGTAGTGACACGTGCACGGACCAGTCGCGACCACTTTACGCGACGCCCCAGGTTCTTCACGCGGAACCAGGCCTTGAAAACGCGTCCAGGCGCGCATGTCACGAACAGGAACGCGTGTTGCTGAGGAAGGTGCAAGGGCCAGGAGCCCCCACTACCAGCATGCCTGCTCGCATAACTTCTTCCATGCTACTACTGGACTCCCCTCCTCCCTGCGGTCTGCACTTGCCTTCACAACTTCATTTCCTTCTCGACTTTTGAACAATTGCGCCTTTTCATCACCAGCTCGCACGCTTCCTTCCTGATACACAGTAGCTGCCCTTAACGCTGCAAGCACCATACACACCCATCGTCCCCTCCACGTACCGCCAGAGGTCACCAAGCAACCGCCTTCACAATGGCCCGGGTTGCTTCTCGCCGTGCGGTCAAGCCTGCCGTGAAGCCTGCCGCATCAAACTCGATCACCAACTACACTCGGCTTTCCAAGGGTCAAGCCCTTGCCATCGACAAGCTTGACAAGAAGGTGCTCGCCGTGTGCCTTCCCAACTTCAAGCCTTCTCCCGTCGTCACAGTCACCTCGATCCACAACTCCAGCGACGAGGAGAACAGCAAGACTACCGCATCCAGACCTTCCTCAGGGCTCGGTGAATTCAAGTCGACACCCAGCAAGAAGAGAAAGGCAACGGCCGAGGACGAGACTTCGATCGTGCCCGCTCTTACCACAACGTCCAAACGTCAACGTATCAAATCTGATGGACCCAAAGGCGATCTCCCTTCCGCGCCTGCCTGTCAGACGAACCGGTTGACGCAGACCACAATCACAAACTGCTTCGCAAACACGACGTCCACCAGCACGCTTCGCAAGACGCCCAAGTCGACTCTCATTTCGAATGCCAAGGATGACGGACGCGCTGCAGCTCGCAAAGTCAAGGGCTCGAAAAAGCCCAAGACTACTGCGCCTCCATCAAAGAATGCGAAGGACAGTGTCCAACAGGCGCGTCTGCCCGCCGAGCTCGCTGAATTGCTATCCCTGCAACGGGTTATTCTCAAGACGGTGACCCTGCAGATCACGCATCAGAAGAGCAACACGCCAATCGACATCAAGGCCATCACGCCAGACGTGTCTCGCACGTGGGGTAAGCGCAATGTCACCATTGACGACATTCAACGCTGCGTTGCCATTCAGGACCTGAAGAAGGACGCCCACAACGCGACCGCTTCGCCATTCATCATCACCGATTACGGACGCGGCAAGCTCTGTCTCGAGATTGACACGGAGCGGGGAACCGGCCGCATCGACGAGGACAGCCTCTGCAAGCAGTTTGAGGAGAATCTACACGCCCTGTGTGCCGAGCGCGCGACAGATGAGATGTCCGATCTCGACATCTCCTTTGAAAGCCTTTCTTTCAACGACCTCCCCAAGGCAGACATCACCATGCGTCACCACCTCTCGGCCATGAAGCAGAACCCCCTGCTAGCCAAGGGCCAGCGCGCATTGACGGAGCTCAAGCACGGCTTCGTCGTGAAGCAGCAGGAGAAGGAGGCCAAGGCGCAAGCCGCCAAGGAACCCATGACCAACACCGACGGCAGCAAAATGAGCCTGCTCGACCGACTTCGTGCGAAGGAAATCGCGGCCGCGCAGCTCGGCGCGCCTTCGGGGCCTGAGATTACGAGAAAGCGGGCTTTGCAGCATGTGTCTGACGTGTCTGCCATCATTGGCATGTTGGTCAACTCTTCCAACCCTGGCAAGGCACCCGTCAAGTCTTTCCCCATGAGTGTGCTTCAGCAGAAGCTGAAGGAGTCGTTGAGGGTGCCGATGCCCGTTGAGGAGGGCGTGTGCACCGTGAAGCTGATCGCGAACGAGGTGGCGCCCGAGTGGCTGCGGGTATTGCCCATCGGGAGCAAGGAACATGTTGTGGTTCAGACGAGGTGCAAGCCATGCGAGGCTGAGATTTCTGCGAGGGTGGGCAGGCTGTGCTGATTACGCTGTCGATTTTTCTTCTGGATACCCTGTTGTTTGAAGAAGAATTGGAAAAAAGAAAAGGTGTTGATGTTTGAGTTTCGTCTTATTTAGTTAGCATGGCGTTGCGTCTGGAAACCCTGGCCAAGGCAGACGGCGGAGTTTTGTCTATAGGAATCCCACAAGGATGGGCAAAGGGAGTTGTCCCTCGTACTCAATGAAGCAAACAATTAATACCAAGCACATCCAATGCTATGCAGGGGAGGGGAAAGAAAATGTTTCGTCAGCTTCGTGAGCCAACGGTCTATTGTGAAGTTCTATGGACCGTGGCCTTCATCTTGCGGAACGCAACCATTCTGATTGAGCCTCGCTGCTCCTGCGGCTTCTTCATGTTTCTTTTTTAGTATTCCTTCCTCCTTCGCATATTTCAAGCCGACTTTCTCGTCGTCTTCAGCAACGCAGTCCCGAGCACCCGCACCCTCCAGGCTAAGCAAGCAAGCAAGCAAACTCTTCATTTATTTCTTCTTGCCAAACTTGGGCTCGCCAAGGCCGCTGCCCCTGAGCTTAACGTTGAGGACCCTCTCCATGGAGCCGAGGATCTTCTGGTCAGGCGCGGCAGTGCCGCGCTCAAACTCGGCGACAATGGTTTGTGTCGTGTTGCACTTGGTGGCGAGGTCCTTCTGGGTCATCTTGGGCTCCATCTTCTGGCGGGTCTGGGAGATGATGTCGCCGACTTCCTTGCCGATTGTGTTGGGCTTGATAATGTCGTCGGAGCGGTCGACCTTTGTCAGGCGCTGGCCTTCGACGGCGGGGCCGGACTGTGAGAACAAGGTCAGTTATCGGCATTGGCGTTGCACATGGCGGGCGTCGATGGTGGTTTGTGGTGGGAGCGGAGGACACGTGAGAGGTGGGGTCGGTGACGAGGGTGGGGGGGATGGGAGAGGCCAGGCGGCGGGCGGTTATGACGATGCCGATGGAAGAGGGCGGGGGGGACAACGACGAGCTTCGTCGCGAACAGAAGGGGGGAAGACGTACGGTGTTTGCTGAGGCGTACTTCTTCTCGGTAGAGACACCGCCCTGGCGGAACGCAGCGTTCATAGCGGCGGATCCCTTGACGACCTTCTCGCGGGGCGCACCGCCGCCGCGAGTCCTGCTGCCAATCTTGGTCTCGGTGCTCCAGTCATCCATGGTGGCGGTTTGAAAATATGTCAAGATTGGGTGTTTGCGAGGTAGAATAGAGCGAGAGTCTTCTGGTCGTCGAGGTCAAAGATTGGTGTCGTGGGTAGAGGCGTTTGGTGGTATCGTGAAGGTTTGTTGGAGGTTGCAATTGGGGTCTTGGTGAGGCTCGCTGGGTATAAATATCGTAGAAGGCTATGGACGGCGGTGGATAAAGCCCGCCGCCAACTCTGTCTTGGGCTGTGGTTTGGCCAGCTGGGCCAGGCGTGCTGAGTCAATCGGCCAGTGAGAGTGAGGGGCGAGTGGCGCGGTACCCTCGAATGAGGTCCTGCTTGCGCCACAGATCCATCAGCTTTCTCCGCTTAGCCCCGGTTGACGACTTATGTAAGCTATGATCTGACCTGGGCCACTCCGTCTTCCGGTCTGGGCTGAGGCATGTTTATGGTAAAGAATGTCCAGGAAGGGTTGTTATACCAATTTGCAAATGTCATGCTGCCTATTTTGTCGTTTCATTGTTTCTACGTGCAGTGTTCGTAGCCGCAACTCCCTCTATCCTTTGCAATTCGCATGAAGCATGCAACGAACATGGGCAAAGTCATGACGTCTTGATCAGGCCTCGGACCCGCTGTTGTCACTATGCGTCTCATTTATCCTCCTGTCACTCTTGTCACTCCTGTCAACCACCATGACCGCATCCTTACATTAGCGCACCCGAAAATCCCATCTGGTACCAGGCCTAAAGATGCTGGCCGGCATTGCCTATGAGGCCCTGCTGGGAGGGTGGCTAGACGTCGCCCTCGTACTCGTCTTCACAACTTGGCGGGAGGCGGCATTGATCCGCTACACCTTTGTCGCTGTAAGGTCCTCACTATTGAACGACCATGACACCGGTTTGGCAGTTGCCTGGCCATACATCAAGCCATTGGCTGTTGTCTCCTTTGCTTTCCTGGTTCTGGGAAGCTGGTTACACAGGACCCCTGCCAAGCAAACGACGTGGCCGGGATTGGGGAAGCCCCTCCTCATCCCAGCCAAGACGACGCACCGGAGAACCTTCCCCGCCAAGCATGGCTTCTCATACTCCTATCTTGTTGTCGGTGTTCCAGTCGGCTGGACCGGGTCCGCCGGCGGTATGGTCTCTTCAGGGACTGAATTGGACTCTTCCGATGGCCGTAGCCTCATTTCATGGCTGAGAGCGAAGACCTTTGGGACACGGGCTTGGTTTCACGTCAGCGAAGCAGACCACCTTGGGAGAGAGCCTGGGACCCTTGAGACCAAGTTGCACAACTACTTGAAGTCACAGGTGCGGAACCTCTCACTACATCTTACCTCAGCGGGAGCGATCGAGCAACATGTGAGCTGATCTTCATACCTAGGACGTTGATCCCAACACGTACCCTCATGCCTATCTCGTCACCGCGGCAAGCTTTCTGGGGTACAACTTCAACCCAGTTTCATTTTGGTATCTCTACACGACAGACAAGACGCCAGCGGCCATGATCCTAGAGGTCAACAACACCTTTGGCGAACGGAGAATGTATTTCCTGCCCATGGACGAAAGGGTGGCCGACGAACCCAATGCCAATACTAGCAAATTATTCAAGTCCTGGCCGAAGGACTTTCACGTCTCCCCGTTCAATTCTAGGAAAGGATCGTACTCGCTGCAAGTTCACGACATGTTGAGCTCGAATAGCAACAAACCAGGCCGTCTTGATGGCACCATCACTCTCAAGTCTTCCAAGGATCACCCCAAGATCGTCGCCCGCCTCTTCCAAGAAGGAGATCCCGTTGACCCCACAACAGCGAGCTTGGCCACGAAGTTGAGGTTCCTTCTCGGCTGGTGGTGGGTGGGCTTTGTGACGTTTCCAAGGATCGTCAAGGAGGCAGGTCGGCTTTTCTTCCGCCGCAAGCTCCATGTCTGGTTCCGCCCCGAGCCCCTCAAAGACAGCATGGGCCGTGTCGCCGACACGACGGAGCGGCAGCTGGAGCCCATCTTCCGGGATTATTTACACCACCTCGTACAGCAGTCAGGTGCAAATTTGACCGTGAAGTACACCTCGAGCAGTGGAGACGCGCCCCTCATCATCCAAGGAACCTCCCCTTCGGGGGCGGTCAGCAAGCACACAGAGCTGCAAGCCGCCGATAGCGACGACCACATGGAATTCAGAGTTCTGACGCCGGTGTTCTATACTCGGTTCGTTCACTACGCACATGACTTTGAGGCAGTCTTCAGCGAGCTACGCGAGAGCGAAACGATATGGGTGTCACGGCCAGAGCTGCTGCCCCGTCTCTTCGTGTCGAAGAAGGCTGCGGCGCCGCTGAATATCAGCAGCCCACTGGACTTTGTATATTTCAAAGCCATTCGTGCGCTGCGAGAGCGGCCGGAACGCATCGAGCGACCACTGACATCAAGTGCGGTGGCCGCACCATCTGAGAAGGCGGGCACACAGCGGACGGATGACCTGAGGCAGTTCCGCATCTCAGGCATGGACGGCTTTGTCCTCGCACACGAAGACAAGCATGTGCGGAAACTCTACCGGTCGCTTGTGCTGAGGGTCTTCCTCGCTGAGAGGTTGGCCCTGGGTTCAATGGAGCTGCTCTGGCTGCAAGAGCTGGTTCTCCGCGTCGGTACGGCCTGGGCAGTTTCTAAAAACACAAGTGGCTATCTCGCAGGCAGAATCACGGCGTAGCTAGAGAAGTAGATAACAAAGTTCAGAATACCTGGTCATTGAGTGTCAAGGTTCCGTAATCTTTCTTACACAAAGCTTCGGATGTACCAACTAGCGTGAGTTCACCCGCCAAAATAGTCAGCACCCATCCCAGCCTCTGTACATCACTGGTCTGACAGGTGGAGTTGCGCCTTGAGGCAGAGTATTTGGAATCCTTTTGCAGCTGCAAGATGGCCCGCCGGGATGCATGACTGCCAGACAAAAACGATGGTGGGGAGCCCACGGGTCCCCCCTCCAAACAGCTCCCGAAGCTCCTGAACCTCAACAAAGGCAACGGCGTCTCGAAGCTACCGACTTTTGCGGGGACGATACCCAACCACTGTGGGAACCCCCCTCCGAGACCATTCCAATTCCCCCGCTCCTCGTGTCGTGCAGCAATTCGCGAGTGGTCCCTCGCACCGCAGCAACGGCAGTGACAAATACCGAGCATAGTCGGAGCCTGTTCTTTGCAAGAAGGAGGAGGGAACGGGGGTCCTTGAGCGCCAATTGACGTAGAGGTTTGGTCTCGGGCCTCCACCGCCCGCACCAGCTCTCGCAGCTATCTGGAGCTGAGCTGTTGGTCTCAGCAACCGCCCCCCGCCGTATCTGTAACCAACCCCGCCATCGTCGTCATAGGTGGTAAAGTCGTTCGGGTCGTGGGCGTTGAGTGGCCAGCGTACCAAGCATTGGAGCTGGCGACGTCTTTTAAAGAAGCGTCCCCGCCCATGTGGAATTTCGTACCGTTTTCGAGCTTCTGGTCTTCTTCAATCGATCGAGACTCATCCAGTAAACCCTAGATTTTCTCGTTAGCCAAAGTCCCATTAAACACAACTGCCCACCATGCCTCTTACCGGACACTGCCTCTGCAAGGCCGTCACCTACTCGGCCGACGTCGACAAGCCCCTCCTCACAGGCTACGATCACTGCGACGACTGCCAGCGCCAGTCCGGCTCGACCTACTGTACGCAGCGCCGCATCCCTCCTCCCTCCCCTTTCCATAGGTAGTCGAGTCCCACTGACCCATCTCGCCAAACCAGCCCTCGTCGTCGTCGTCCCCAAGGACAAGCTCACCATCAAGGGCCCCACCAAGTCCTGGGCTGGCAAGGGCTCCTCCGGCAAGGACGTCCACCGCATCTTCTGCTCCGAGTGCGGCAGCCCCATCGCCCACGACCCCGACGCGGCCCCCGAGATCATTGCCCTCAAGGGCGGCACCCTTGACGCCGAGATCAAGAAGACCCTGAAGCCCGTACGTTGGCTCCACTCGCCTGACCATCACTCGATGGGCTCCCCAGTTCGAACTGGACCGGCTGACATGTCCCACTTAGGATACCGAGATTTGGACCGTTGGCAAGCTTCCTTTCTGCCAGGAGACTCTGGCTCACCCCTTCAAGCACATGCCCGAGTAAGGGTAACCTGGAAGGAAGGAGTAGGAGCGGGAGAGGTGGTTGTAGAAAAGCATAATGAAGACAAAATGAAAACGAAATGAACCGAATAGAATTGTTGCTTAACGAGAAACTGCCTATGCTGAGAACCACGGGGTCTGTTGGATACTTGAATGGCGAGGAAGCGTAAGAACCTGGATGGCTATTGTGGGGAGCACCTCGACCCCCATCCGCACCACACCACGCACCACATACCGCACACTTAATTAGCTATCCCTTCCCAGGTTGCTGAGTGCACGCAAGGTAAGCATGCACATGTGAATATGCTGCCATGTTTTTCATTGGGCCCATGTTCACTCTTCAATTGGTCTGCCACGTATGAAAAGCACGCGAACACACCGGTCAGGCAAGTAAGATAACTTCTCTTCGTGCAGCACCAAGTCTATCAACAAAGGAACTACGCCTTGTGATCCATTGCCTCTTCCCGATTTCCCTCTTCATTCATTGCCATTCCCTGTCTAACCCGAGGAAGCACGCGTTTCTCTTGTCTCCCTCCCCGTTACTGCCCTTACAGCATGATACCAACCATCAGAGCCACGATCAATGATGCAAGGCTAACTTGCATCAACCCCGCATGGTTCGGGCTCATATTGTCGCCCCCAACTCTTTCGATGCTACCGCTGAATTTGGTCTGGTTTGTCCCAGTGGCGGTGGGCAGTGGTGGCGGCCAAGGAGCGGTCATGAGGGGCGCGTTGAAATCGGTCAGCTTGGGGGCTGTGAGTGTATGTGAACCAATCCTGAGAGTAGGCTTGGGGGTATCAGTAGACTGATGTGAAATTTGTGCTTCGACCGAGGTGGCGATGTACAGCGTCGAAGTAGGGATTGCTTCCGTGGCCCGGAATCCATGAAAGGTGCTAGGAACAGCCGTGGGCATGACCGCAGCGTCGCGAGCCAGTGACTAGATAGAAGCGAAAGGGGCAGTTGGGGCAGCCGTAGCCAAACACAGTTGATCGTAGGCGCTGTGGAGAAGATTGTCGTAGAGGACCAGCTCTAGAATATCAATACCACCATTATCCCTCATGCAGGTGTCGCAAGCCAACTTCTCGCCGAAGAAGTCGCCCTTGCACATGCACTCGGCGTGGTCCTCGAGGTCTGTAGGGTTGGTGCCGTTCGGACGGCAGAGGAACTCCTCGATGTGCTTTGCCTTGGCACATGGCAGCATATCATCGTAACTCTGGGGTTCGGCCACGGCAGGATCGCAAATCTGAGCAGCTGTGAGACGACTGTCTTCGGACGATGGGCCAGTATTTTTAGACGCAGCTAGGATGATGTATGGGAGAGCCACGACAGCGAGGCTGAAAGAAGAAAGCCGGGGAATCATTGTGGTGACGGGTTTCAGAAGTTTGTTGCAGAGAAACCTTGGACGGCGAAGGGGGGAAAGATCATGCAATGAGTCCAAAAATGGGTATGTGCTAGTGATGGCTTGGGCTGAGAATGATGTGAGCTTGTGATGTATGTTGAAGACGGTGGAAGATGATGTTGTGGGAGAGGAGAACAGAGGAAGAGTTAGACCAGAGGAAGACGACTAGATATGAAGACCGGACACAGCAGCGGATTGCCAGCTAGCGGTCATGCTTTCCTTACGTGCGTCCAAACTAGAAATGCAGAAGGCAGTCAGCGGCGGCAGTGAAGAGGAGGAACAAACAACAGTTTGGCTGTTCACTTTGCGTGACTTCCTGACTGTCGTCTTTCTTGAGTGTGAAGTGGCGGCAGGAAAGTCTGTGGATTTGGGGTGTTCACGGAGTTTCCTTCCTGTGATGTCTATTCCCGGACTAGAAGTGAGAGCAACAGCATCCCGACAACAGCTGGACGGCAGATACCATGCTCAAAATACGCATCATAGGTGGTAATGAGAGCAAGAACCTCCAAACGATCATCATTATTGGTATCATAAATCTAAGCTCCTGCCACATCAAACAAGCACTACCAGAGCCACCATGCTAGCCAGGGCAATCACACTCATCAAGCGCACCCCGTGATCCCTTGCCCCACCCTCGGCCTCCGGAAACACCTTCTGAACCTCGCCCGTCTGAGAGGCAGATGCAGAAGTGCAGCTCGCCGTCCCGCACTCGAACCCGCTCGGGCAACAGCCGGCAACAGGACCTCCCTCGTCACCGCACAGGAACCATCCGCTGGCGCAGGTCTCAGTGGCCTGCGCGTCAGCGGCGTCCCTCGCGTCTGTGACCGGCACGACAATGGTTGCGCCGTCCGTTGTGATGGTCGTAAGGGGCGTCGTAGGGCAGTCGACTGTTGCGCAGTCGCGACCGGTGCGGCAGCAGCCTCCTCCCTCACGGGCAAGGCAGGCGTAGAACCCAGTTGGGCAGTAATCCTCGGGCGTCTCGGCAGGTGCCGTCTCCAACGTGGTTGACTCCGTGGTTTGGGACTCTGCAGACGTCGGTCGGTAAGGGGGAATGACTACGGTATTGACGGTCGTAGTTGAAGGCGTGGGTGTCAAGATGCTGGTGCTCGTTCTCGTAATCGTCTCGGCTTCAGGCGTTGCGGTAATGACCACTGTGACAACAATCGTCGTAGGCTCGTCCCCTTCTACCACGGTTGTTGATGTTGATGTGATCGTTGTCGGCCTTTGGGTTGTGCTTGTAATCACTGGTGGGGGGCTTGGAACGCCTTGCGACAATAGTCAGCATCACGGGCTCTCTAAGTACGGCACTGGGGGGCGAAGACTCACATCCTACACCTTGACAGACGAACCCAGGGATACAGCATCCTCCTCCTAGCTCTGTTGAACACGTCGGGGAGCCATCCGGGCATGCGCCGATGGGTCCGCCGCACTCAGCCCCTTCCGGGCAGCAAGCGACGTTTCCTACGGCGGCATTGTCCACCTCGACGCACACCTCGCCGTTCATGCAGCACTTGTTGGGTGCGCCAACGTTACTGCAGTCTTCCATACCCCCAGGGCAGGTCTGTCTCCCTTCGAGGACGTTGAGCACCTCGGCTGCTCTCCGCAACAAGTCCCACCCATCGCGCCTGCCCTCCTCTTCATGCGACTTGAAAGCTGGTCGGTATGGTCTGCTCGAGGCGTCGCTTGCGTTGAGGGCGATGCGCTGCTCTTCGTCCACTGAAAGCTGCAGTCGCTCGGCGAGTACCGCTTCTCGTGGACTGAGAAAGAGCGGTGCCTTGTCTGTATCGATAGCTGGGCTGTCTGCGAAGGCAAAGTGTTCAGGCAAGAGCTTCTCTGATGCGGCGAGAGGGAGTTTTCGGATCGCAATGGGTTGACGAGCCTGCTGGCTCTGAGCCTGTGATGTGACGAGGAGGAGCAGATATGTCGGTAGCCCTAGCAGCGTTGAGTGGCGCATGGTTGGGATTGGTGCCCAGAAGGCGCTCGTTCTGGCCTGGCTTGCCTGGCGGCGTCAGGCTTCTGGCGGCTTACGTTAGTCAGCGACAGGCTTGTTTCGTTGGATGAAGTCGAGCAAAACACAGAAAATGGCTTTTGCAGCTGATTATTGCACGAAGGTCCTGGTGGCAGAAGTGCAAAGTTGGGTTTCGTAGCGGGTGAAAATGTTAGGCCTATGTTTGTTGATGGCGACAAGAGATGCCAGTCCGGGTGGCTGGGAACTGGGCCCGAGCCTTCACGGCGGCCAGATCCATGTCGCTAAGACCATTGAAATTCGATTTGCCGACCACAAACACCAGGCACCTGTGCGCGTCAATTCGATCGTTTAATAAGCCACGTCCGAAAGAAAAATGTCGCGAAATCTACGGATTGCCTCAGTCAGACGACCTGCGATGCTCCATAGGCGCAACAATGCGATCGACGTCATGGCAAGCACCAAAGGTTGGGTACAAAGCCTCGGGACAGGGGTATGGAACAATGTGGGACGTCAGTTCCTCTTATCTTATCAGTGATGATCAATAAACTTCCTGATCCAGGTGCTGGCTGGATCTGGGAGAGTCGAACGAGCAAGCACTTTGGTCATCAGTAAATTCCGAGCTATTGTTCACTTTGTGGCCTCCGTGTGCACCAGAACAGGCCAGCAGCAGAATCACCCTTGTAGTTCCGAGTTGAGGTCGCACCAGAGGACAGCAGCCCATGCACACCCTGACAGACAACCATCGAGATCATGTTGACTCTACGAACTCATGATAAAACATTTCTAGCTACAATGCAACGCCTTTTCAATTCCTCACTCCTCATATTCCAATCCTTCGTTAGATGCGAGCCAGCCTCAGCATCAGCCTCAGCTCACCGATGGCCTGCTCCTCCTCGAGGATGACAGACTCACCCGAGGCGCCCTCGAGAGGCTCGAGCTTGCCGCGCAGCGCATTCACGAAGAGCTCCTCCTTGGACTCCAGCACAGCGTCAACGTCGGTGCTCTCGGGGTTGGCCACGACGCCGTACTGCATGTGCACCTCGTCCGTAGGAACAAGGCCTGCCTTCTTGCGCATCCTCTGCACACGGTTAATGACCTCGCGGGCCAGGCCCTCGTACACCAAATCCTGCGCCGAAACATCGGTATCGAGGAGGATGATGACATCGTTGGAGAAGGCAGGTTCCAGCTGAGGAAGCTCTCCCGCCGCCTTGGCGCCATCCTTGTTAGCCAGGACGCGCACAATCTCCAGGTCGTTCTCCTCTAGCTGAATGCCATCAATGTTGATGGTCTTGTCGGTGAGGTATTGCCTCAGCTGCTCCTGCGAGAGTTTGGGCAGCGCCTTGCGCACAATCTGAACATCCTTCTTGAGCTTCTTGCCCAGAGTGGGCCAGTCGACCTTGGCCTCCAGAATGATGCCGTACTTTGCCTCGTCATTGCTCAGGACAACCTCCTGGACGTTGAGCTCGCCCATGACGTACGACTGCAGAGACTCGACGTCCTTGAGGTGCTGCTCATCAGACACAACAACGATGGAGCGCAGGGGTGTCTTGAGACTCAGCGTGCGTCGCTCTCTTGCTGTCCTGCCCAGGTTGATGACCTTCTGCATGGAGGAAACCTTCCTCTCGATCTCGGTATCAAACAGTGCCTCCTGGACCGTGGGGAACGGCAGGAAGTGCACACTGCGGGAATCGGTAAAGTCCTTCAGCACCTCGCCCAGGAAGGGCTTGAGCAGGCTGTAGATGTGCTCAGTGATGAAAGGAGTGAATGGTGCGAGGGCTCGAACAAGGGTCAGAAGGACCTGGAGAAGAGTGTTGAGGGCGGCCTTGGTGTCGTCAAGGCCCAGACCGGCGACACCCTTGAGTCGCTTGCGGTTGAAGCGAATGTACCAGTTGGTCAAGTTGTCGAGGACAGACAACAGGCGCGGCACGACCGTGTACAAACGGTACGCGGCCATCTCTTGGTCGATGAACTGCAACATGCTCTGGCAGTCGGCCAGGATCCATCGGTCCATGACGTTCTCGAGGCCCTTGCCTTCAGTGAATGTAGGATCAGCAGCGAAATCTTCACCGTTGTTCTTCTTGTACAGGAGGGCCTGCTCGCAGAAGAAGCGGTAGCTGTTCCACAGAGGGAGGAGGACCTTGGAAACCACTTCCTTGACGCCAGACTCCTTGAAGCGAAGAGGCTCAGCCCTGACAACGGGAGAGTTGATGAGGTACAGGCGGAGCGCGTCAGAACCGTACTCGTTGATGACGTTGCTCGGGTCAGGGTAGTTCTTCAGACTCTTTGACATCTTGACGCCTGCCAAACTTGTTAGTTCACGACGTGACGAATTCTCTATATCAACTTACCGGTGGAAGCAAGCACGAGGCCGTTGGTGATGCAGTTGCGGAAGGGCGATACACCGAACAGCTTGTTGCCGAGAACGGTCAACGTGTAGAACCAGCCACGGGTCTGGTCAAGACCTTCGGCGATGAAGTCGGCAGGGAAAAGGCTGCCCTGGAAGTTGTCGGCGTTCTCGAAAGGATAGTGAGTGGAGGCATAGGGCATGCTTCCGGACTCGAACCAACAGTCGAAGACCTCGTCCACACGCTTGAGCATACCCTTGCCCTTCTTGGAGGGAATCTCAATGTGGTCAACCTTGTCACGGTGCAGGTCGTTGAGCTCGCCAGTATACCCGCTGAGTTCCTTCAGCTCGGCGATGCTGCCCACGCAGACAACCTCCTCAAAGTCCTCGCTGACCCACAGCGGAATGGGGGTGCCCCAGTAACGGTTCCTCGAGACGTTCCAGTCGTGAGCATTGGCGATCCAGTTGGCGAAACGCTTCTCCTTGACGAAGGAGGGAACCCACGTCGTCTTCTCCAGGTTCTCGAGCATCTCAGGAATGGAGTTCGTGACGCGAATGAACCAAGAAGAGACGGCCCTTCGAATGAGTTGCGTATCTGAGCGCCAGCAGAACTTGTCAACGTGGGACGTCTGAGACTCGACCAGAAGACGTCCGGTTGATCGCAGATCCTTCAGAATGGCCTTGTCAGCGGTCTTGACGTGCTGTCCAACATAGTCAGGCACCTCGGCGGTGAACTGGCCCTTCTCGTCGACGGGGCAAGGCGGCAGCCTCTTCTCGCCAATGAAGCCCGAGGCAACAGCAGCATCGTAATCCTCTTGACCAAAGGCAGGAGCCTGGTGAACGATACCCGTACCCTCGCCAGCCTCGACGTAATCTGCGCCGATGACCTCGAAACACTCCTTGTAGGATTCGGCAAAGTAGGGGAATAGCGGCTCGTACTTCCAGCCGATGAGATCCTTGCCCTGCAGCTTGCGGAGGACCTTGTATTTGGCCTTCTTGAGCTCCTTGCCGTAGAGAGCAGCAAGTCCGCTCTCCATCATGAAGTACTGCTTTCCGGACTTCTCGTCAAGTATCTCGAGATACTCAAAGTCGCGGTGAACAGCGATGAGGATGTTGGACGGGAGTGTCCAAGGCGTCGTGGTGTAGATGACGAGGGAGCCGGTCTGTCCGACGACGGGGAAGGCAACCAGGATGGCAGGGTCCTGTGTCGTCTTCTCGTTCTGCTTCGCTTCCATCTGGCTGAGGGGGGTGCCGAGGGCGGTAGAGTAGGGCATGATCTGGTATGCGCGGTACACTTGGTCCTTGTCGAAGAGTTGCTTGAAAACCCACCAACAAGACTCCATGAAAGTGACGTCCATCGACTGTTGCGTAATGGGTCAGTTTTACATCCGAGAAACCCGTACCAGACCAGTTCTGCCTACCTTGTAGTCGTTGTCAAAGTCGATCCAGCGACCCAGACGCTCAATGATCTGCCTCCACTCGGCAGCGTACCTCATGACAATGGCCTTGCACTCGGCGTTGTAAGCGGCGACACCCATCTGCGCGACAGCGTCCCTGGCCGAGATGCCGTGCTTCTTGTCAATCTCATATTCGATGGGCAAGCCGTGCGTGTCCCAACCAAAGCGCCGGGTGACATGGTATCCCTTCATGGACCAGTATCGCGGGATAATGTCCTTGATGGTCGAGGTGAGCAGATGCCCATAGTGGGGGAGACCTGCACTGTTAGACTGTTGTCGAGGCCGGGAGGCCAGGGTCGGGTCATCATACCGGTAGCTGGACGAGATTGAAGTCAGAAACGAGCCTTTGCAGCGGTGTTCGGGCATATCGAGGCAACTTACCAAATGGGGGACCATCATAGAAGGTAAACTTCTTGTTGCCCTCTGTCAGGCGCAGTTGGGTCTGGAAGGCATCGACCTCCCGCCAGAAGCGGATGACCTCTTCCTCGGTCTTGGGGAAGCTGATGCTCATTTTGGACGCAGTGCTCCCAGACTACCTATGCCGTACGGTAGGTGCGATCTCCGGGGTTCAACTGGGCGAAAATCAAGGAGTGGTGATGTGCTACGTGACTCAAACCTAGTGTTTTTTTCCCCTCCTCCAAGTCGCCAGCTGCCCCTCTATCGGGGATTGCTGGACCTGCCCCGCCCCCGCCTATTGCCCGTCGTTCTGTTAGGGGCAGGGTACGTACCTTGTTCAGGAACCAGGGCACGTGACATGTTCGCCCTTCTTTCAGGGGTTGGCGTTGCTGTGATGAGGAAAATGGGAATTCGTCTGAGCTGTCAACTGCTGAATTGCATCGAACTTGGCCTGCTATGTGTGGTACTGGATCTGATTCATTCTTCGCCATGATGCCATTTCCCGGCAAGTCATCGAGCACATTGGCTTTGATTATGTTGATTGAGGGAAGTATTTTCAGTTACGTCTCCCCAGCTTCAACATGGTCTCTTCCACAGTGACCGCTTTGCTATTCCATTCGTGTGTGATTATGACATATTTGATGACCCTGCATGCATTCGAATGTACGTTCGAGGCAAGCTGATGCTGCCGTCGCACATCAAAGGGCAATCGGCCGTATCACGAGCATGTCTTGATCAGTCAGATACATACAGTACAGTACCCCTTGGAACGACCCATCAAGCGCGTGTTAGTTAGCCCTGAAAACACACCATTCAAGCAAGGCTGCAGCATTCTTCGCAGAAATCACGATCCCGGGATTGAAAGAGCGTCCAGCAACGGACTGAAGTCCTCTTTTTGGTTTGAGCCAAGCCTTGATTGGCTTGCCAGCCCCGACACTACCCCGCGCTCCCCCAGGCTCGAGCGGTGCCTCGGCTCAACGCAAGTTGATAAACCCACGATATGAACATTTCAAGCTGGCAGCTCCGTACGAAGAGACATTTCTCTTGCTGAAACCGACCCCTTTCTGGCTCGCAACGGCATCGAACGAGGCTGTTCGATCTCTTATACTCTTAAAAACCATGGCGTCTTCCGATAGCGGAAAGGAGCTGATTCTATATCACTACTCCTATTCGCCCTACGCGCGCCGCGTCATCTGGTATCTCACTCTGCGCGGCATCCCGTACTTACAATGCGTAAGAAAACGGCCAAGGATATATCACTCTCTTGCTCACACTCTCGCAGGTCCAACCGCCCATCTTACCACGCCCGGACGTTGCCTCCCTCGGCATATTCTACCGCCGCATCCCGCTCCTCGCCATAGACGGTGACGTCCTCCTCGACACCCGTCTCATGCTCACTGAGCTCGAGGCTCTGTTCCCCGAACTGCCCCGCCTTGGCACCACGCCCGACTCGGCGCCAGAGCTCCGCGCCCTCGAGCGGCTCCTCTCCACCTTCACGACCGAGACGAGCCTGTTCTCCACCGCCGCCAGCCTGCTCCCTACCGACATCCTCTCCAGCGCCTGGTTCCGCGACCGCGCCCAGTTCTCCGGCCCCAGCGCCAACCCGCCGAGCGAGCAGCGCGTCCGCGAGAGCATGGCCGCCGGCCGTCCCGCCGCCGAGGCCGAGATCGCCCGCGCCCTCGACTTCCTGGAGCACATCCTCCTCGCCGACGGCCGGGTGTGGGTCCTCGGCCCCGGCGCCGGCCCGACGCTGGCGGACATTGAGGCCGTCTGGCCGTTCCACTGGCTCTACGAGCTGCCCGGCGCGCTGGCGCCCGAGCGCTTCGGCGAGGTGCGCTACCCCCGTGTTCACGCGTGGATCGCGCGCTTCCAGGCCGCTGTCGCGGCGGCGAAGAAGCGCGGGCCCAAGACGCCCAAAGTCTCTGGCGAGGAGGCGGCGAAACGGATCGCGGCCGCGCCGACGACGGACGCCGGCGGCGTTGATGCGAGCGATCCGGTGGCGGTCCGCGAGGGGCTGAAGGCGGGAGACCGCGTCGTGGTGTGGCCTACCGACACGGGGTCGACGCACAAGGACGCCGGCACGCTGGTGGCCCTTGACAGGACCAAGGTCGTCTTCACGGTGGAGGGCCAGCAGGGCGCGAAGACCAGAGTGCATGCGCCTCGTCATGGGTTCAAGGTCAAGAAGGTGAAGGCAGAGGGCCACGCTGGTGCGAAACTCTGAATGTATTGATTATTGTACAACTTAGAAAAGCTTCGCCGTAATACGGGTTACTGTCCTACGACGTTTCTCACATCAGCCTCGTGACAGTATTGATACACCGATGAAAACGCCTTATTGTGACACCTTGACTATTTGGTTGAGCAGGATCGCCTCAGCGTCAACCAATGCGATGAATCCCACAAACAAGAAACCCCCTTTCCTGGTTTGGGGTATCAACGTGTACTGGGAGGCATAGCTGAACACAGTTCATGCAGTGATGTTGGGATTAAGGCAACTGCAGTCATGAGGCTCAAATTGCACAGCGGTCTTATGACGTAGACACCCGTGGTCGTGGGTTGGGTCTGGGGAATGATCACTTGGCGACATCGAGATGAAGGTGCAAGCGGCCCGAGATGTATTGAGGGGAGGGGAGATCGGCTCCGGGGCCGCGACTCAACGACCCAGGCACACCATCTACATACACATGCCCATAGCACACGCGATTGTTTCACGTGTTAGCCTCGAGATGGTCATCGAGATCTCACGCCCTCGAGCTCGATCACACTGCAAACAGCACAGATGGGCTTGGATCGCAGCAACGTTCTTTGCTCTCGTTAGATTCGTGATGGCGCTTGATCGAATTGGACAATATCACAGTATCGCCAGTCTACTGCGCAAGGCATGCGATGTGCGGTCGTTGGACCAGTGATGCGGTATTGGGCCAGTGATGCGATCGATAGTATAGTAGGAAGGTATGCAAGAGGGGAGCATGTGCACACACTGTATCCTCCCAAGAGTTCCTTATCGGACGCGTGTCGTGCGGCATCCTGCACTCGGTCGATAGCTGAGCATCCAGAACGGCCCAGACTGCTGGTGATGGGCCAAGAGAAGGAGGTGGTGAAGGAAGGATTACGTCATGGCCGCATCTCACGATAAAGACGACTCTGTTGAAGTGCGGCGCAGTTCCACCTCATGCATCGACGTGTCGTGTGTGTGAGCGCTTGGAGCATTTGCTCGAGGGCCATCAAAATCGGGGTTTACACTGTGGTTTTTTTCTTCTTTCGTCAGCATCATGCTCTGCTTGACAGACATGGCTTCCTACCCCTTGGGTCAGCATTCCACCGAGGTTGACTCTCCGTTCTGAGCGCGAACCGAGACAGACAGCCTCGACAGTTCGAGCGCCATCTGACGTCACCAGCGCTTCATCCAATGCCAGCCTAGCGCCAGCTTGTCCAGTGTCCAGTGCCTCTTTGCCCACTGTCAGCATTTCTGGAGGTTGAATACCTACCCATAAGTGATCGTGCGGTTCGAAACACTCTCACGACGGAGGGCAGCAATACCGTAACTTGTAATGGAGAGCCAGATTGAGCATCGAAATCGTATCATCCCAAGAGGCGCAACGGAGGCTGGCGCCGACGGTGGGAAGGATCGTGCTCTGACGCAATCTGTGAGACGGCCACTCACAGAGAGGGTGTCGATGGCGTTCCCATCTGCACGATCCACCAAGGTACTGGCAGACGGGCGGGGGTGAAGAAGGGGGGGAAAGTCGAGGAGTCGCACTGTAGGAACGGTCAAGGCTGGTGGTGATCCGCAGCGCACCCTGTGAAGAGCCCTTCAGCCGTATCATGCGCCAACAATAGGAAGGAAGGATTAGAAATCCAGATCCAGATCAGGCTGGCACAGGCTGGGCCACCCATTCGGTGAGCCTGGACCGCGTTCGCGACATGGACACGGTGAGAAGTCGCGTGTGTGGATCCCCAGTATCAACTTGTCGAGTGCCAGGCAGGATCGGAACAGAGG